TATAGCAGGGATGACTTTTCTATGGCTTGCTTTTTCTACGCCAACCAATCTGTGTACTTATAAGGGCTTGCTTTGCCACTTAAAACCAAGTGTATGTAAATTTTTACACACACTCTAGGCATATATTAATAAAAACCTAGTGATTGTACCAGTTTTAGTAAGTCTTGTAATTTAGTAGCACTGATTCATATATTTTGCGAAGTACTCGTCTCTCATATATTAATAGCTGTTCTTTATAATGTAATTTAATATTATAGTATATTGTAAACCTCATTCATATCCAAATGTAAAAGTTGAGCAGGTTAAAGACATACGGAGCTTTTTACTTCTTCACAAACTTTAAATCCTTTAAATCTTGGCTAAGAAAGGTTTATTTCGCAACTCTCTATCTGTAACATCAGTTTTAAGTATTAACCTCCTGCAAATTTGCAAATACCTTGGTATATATTATGTACATTACGAACAATGTGAGATGGTTATGGATTGTATCTTTACCGGTTGAAGTCATAATGGTTATTCCAAGCTAATGAAGTTTCAATTCTCTCTGTCCTTTTGCCGAAAATTCTCCTAATATTGCGAATAAAACTTGACTAAGATCAAGTGTTCACTTAAAAAAGTTTTGAATGGATGTCTATCTGTTGCGAATAAAACTTGACTTAGATCAAGTGTTCACTTAATAAAGTTTTCACTGCATCTATCCAAGTTAAATTTATTCGACATAGTTAAGTGTAAAGACTACTCAGGACTACTCAGGTATTGAGAGCGGACAAAGTGGACAAAAGTCTGCTGAAGATTAGAGTCTGTTTAAGAGAGTTTCCATTGCAGCTATTTTAGTAGTCTATATAATTGTTGTTAAGCGGATACCAAAGTTGAGCAGACCTAAATTAGCTGGAGACAAGTGTCCGCTTAAGAGAGTTTTTACTACAGCTACCTTAATTGTCAAGCGTTCGATGTAATAGTTCCTTAGAGGTTTTGAAAAGTATATATAACTGATTAAAGTTATGTATTTATAAACATAATCAGTGAACAAAAGTTGACTGAGGATTAGAATCCATTTAAGAGAGTTTTCATTGGAGCTATCTTAGTTGTTTATATAAATGCTGTTAAGCGAACACTAATCTTGAGCGAATATAAGTTAGCTGGAGACCAGACTTCGCTTAAAAGAATTTCTAGAATGTTCAATGTAGCTACACCAGTTATCTAGCGATTCTTATAATAGTTTCTTAAGGGTTTTAAATAGAATATAACAGATCAGGATCATGTATTTATATTCTGATGAATAAGTATTTTATATTATTGACTTCTCTTAACTTTAAGGGAGTTACAAACATTCGTCTTAATTGTTGAATATAACAATATATAAAGTATACCACACTACTATCGATGTCATTAAACTTGTTATGTTAATTACCTTAATTTAGCTGTCTTTAAATTTATGACTACTGTTAATAGCATTAACATAAACAATTTAGAGACAATTGATGTTCTTGAGTTCTTGAGAGAATATAATACAATCTGTAGAAACTAAAGCTATATTGTCAAATTCAAGGCCAGTGAGCGATATGAAATAAAATTTCCAGTAAAAGTGAAAAAAGATAATAAAAATGCAATAAAGCTTAAGGTTCGTGAAGATACTTATAAATTAGTGTGCAGAATGGTTTAGTAATTATTAAAAAAAGACTATCTAACATAAATCCGAGCCAGACAAATTCGAATTCAACTACATTATTATTATCTGCTAATGAAAGACATACATTAGTACAGTAGATGAAGTGGCAAAGGAGAAGTGGTTAACGATGTTATTTTACTCTTAAAACTATTTAACTGAAAGTAGTTTCTGTTGACATACAAAATGAGACAACCACAAACAAAACATTAAGCCGACTTAAAGTTAGATAGACAAACGTAACGACTAATGAACGTATAGGCATAACGTGGAAGAAGCGTTTGGCATAGTTGTTGCAGCAAGCGACAACAACAATAATAAAAATGCATTAATATTTAATTTTATTTTGTTTTTCTGCGAAAAAGCCAAATTTAGTGTGGCCACAGTAATAATGCAACTAACAGCTTACATCTCAGAGCTGAAGAGAATCTAGTAACTGATGAAAAGACTCAAACCGAGTCTTTTGGCACAGCGACATTCAGCGACAATTGCAATAACATCAGCAACACAGCAACACAAACAACACAAACAACAAAAAACAACAAAAACACAAACAACAATTCACCGGCAATAATGGCAATCGCAATGGCGATGGCAATGGCAATGGTAACGTCAACGGCAACAACTGCAATAGCAGCAACAGCGGCAACAGCACCAACAGCATTAACGGTAAGCAGAAGCAGTAGCAGACACAGCAACAGCAACAGCAACAGGCAAAGTTGTTGCCGTCAATGAAAATTTCGCTCCATGTGCGCATGCGAAGTGTTTCGCTACGAGAAAGCAGGTGTATTTACCATTCTGCGGTTACCCACGGCACAGGTCAGACGCGCTACAAAATATCGTCGCGTGAAAATATACAAATTCGTTTTAAACAAATTTTTTTTGAAGCCTTATCAATTTTGGCTATATGTATAAAAATTTTTTTTTTATTAAAATCGAAAATAAAAAATAATTTACATTGAAAGAAAAGTGAATGAATTTTATATGAATTTTTTTAATGAAATTATCTGCATGTGTGTGCAAAAAGTTTTACTTTTCGTATAAGGATTAAATCATATTAATCATAGCAGGATCTTAAGAATATGCGTTTTGAATAGATATGAATAAAATAAACAAAATATTAATATAATTTTAAATAACATTTTTAATTGTTTAATGATAAAATTCTGCGCTAATAACAGTTTTCACTTAAGGAATTTGAGTTTCATACTATCTCATATTCATACTCTGCTACTATCTACAACTATTGTCCTAGTGCAACGCTATACTTTACGGATTTACTTTTACGCTTTTTATCAAATTAACCCATCAGTGGTTCAGTGGTTTAAGTTGTAAATCAGCAACGCTCGTACACTGTATGTAAAAAAGATTTTCCGCTAAATTACGGTTGGTGTTTTTACTTGAATATTGTTGTGTAGATTGTTGGAATGTAAGATACTTTTTATTGTACAATTTTACGCCTTCTATCGAGTGTTAATGTGCAAATAAATTAAACACTTCACACAGAATCGGTTATTTTGCTCAGTGGCAATTAAACGTGAAAGAAGCAAAAACGCTTTAGACTATCTGTCGCCGTTGTGTTGTGGAGCAGCAGCAACAGCAAATGCGGTACGGTTGATTTTTAAACTTGCCTTCACTGTTGCTTGTTCTTGTTTCTTGTATAAGCAAATTTTGATAAACAATATATATTTGTTTAATAAAAATATTTTAAAAATATATATAAAAATAATAGTCAAAATTTTATAAAAAAAAAAAAAAAACGGTGAGTGTTTAAACCTATTTTTATCTCATCATTTACAAAATTACATATTATGTTAAGCAGACAATATATATAAACAGACAAACGATATTTGTTTAACTTGATAGTCTGGGAAAAAATCATTCAAAGAATTTTGTTACACAGAACTTAACAATCATTTTGAAATAATATAGAAATGGAATTATAATGGAAAAGAAGCTAGAGATTATTCATTTATATATACAATAATTATGGTTATTTTAAAAACTCTGTATTATAATTGAAAAATCATTACTATTCTGCTATTCTACTATATATGGGAAAATTGGAGAAAGTCTTTAACAGTAATAAAGACGTTCATTTGAAAAAGTATAAGCTTTATTATAAATTGTACGCCTTCAAAATAGCAGCTTAAAATATATGAATATGAAGAAATAATTATTAAAAAAAATTGTGTTCTATAGCCTTAATTTAAGTTAATTGCGACAAAACGTATTTTTTACATACAAACTATTTGACTTGGCTTTGATTCTTTACTTCAAACAAAGAAATATATGTACTTAGAATAGAATAGAAATAGAATAAGACAGGGTACCAATAACTCTCAACGGAGCGACCATAATTGATCTTTTGAGTCGAATATACCCATGTACTTAGTTTATAATACATTGTATTTTATATCTCACACTATAGTTTTGTTTCCAAATTTATTAAATGATTTTGAAACCTTACTCAAAACATTGGAATAATATATGTACTTAGTTTATAATAAATTATAATTTATATCTCACACTATAGTTTTGTTTCCAAATTTATTAAATGATTTTGAAACCTTACTCCAAACATAGGAATATATGTACTTAGTTTATAATAACTAAATAACAATATATAATACATATATATGAAACGGAGATTTGATTTCCCCGAAGATTACTATCGAAAACACATACGATAGTATGTGATAGTAATATATTATAATTTGCAATTGGAAGAAGTGAAAGCAAATATTGATGTTCTCAAAGTTAATCATGGATGTAGGGAAATCCCTAGAGCTTCTTAATATTAAAACTTACTTACGCTGTAGGATTTTTGGAATCCAACACAAACCCAATTTTGGAGGTGGTACAGACTCCCACGTTTATGTTTTACATCTGAAATATGTAATTTAGTTAAGTTGGGTTAGGGCGGTGGCGTAAATAATGGCCTGTTGTAATATCACAGATAAAGACGTAAAAAACCATCAAAATAGTTATAAATACTAAAGCAGTCTACGCATAGACAACTTCGAAAGTTGTAAAAGTGGCTATGCTTTTAATTTTATATTGATGTCAGAAACATCAATCTATCACGAGTTGTCGATAATAACTTCATTACCTTAATGGAGGAGAGATGTGATACAATTGAAATTGTATCATGCAATCTCAATTATTTAGTAATTACACCAATTTTTTGTTTTAACAAAGTATTTATTTAATATTTAAATTGTAAACCATAAGCCCACAAATATACTTAGATTATAAAAAAAATTTCCTATAAAAAAAGTTTTGTAAACAGAAAGAATATTTACCAAAATATTTAATTTCGCAATGTCTTATGTCTAGCTTCATTATGCAGAGAGTCAAACAATTTACAATGTATTTAGGAAAAGCGTGCATCATTTAGTTTAATTTTCAATTAAACCCAATATAAAGACTTAGTTTATGCGAACTGAAACTATCACATTCGAGATCTCACATACACAACCAATATACAAATCAAATTATTTTATAATACCTTATGATCTCCTATATAATCTTAATTCTGGTTCCACTATATACCTCAATGATAATTTTTGGGTACATCTCAGATCTTCAAATTTAAAGTCAGTTTCAAATTTATAGTTTCTTACGAGTCCACATAGTAGAACTTTCATTGAAAACATAGCATATCGCCTTCCTATAATAAAAACATGATATTATAGTTTGCATATATATTTAACTTCATATTATAATTGCTTACCAATGCAGTTTCGAGGTCCTTTCGAGAATGGAATATAAGCATTTTTCTGCTTTTTTCCATAATTTTCAACTGAGAAACGCTCCGGTTCAAATTCATCTGCATTTGGACCCCAAATATCAGTCCGTCGATGAAGATGATATATTGAAATGAAAACCTGAATACCTTTGGGAAAAAAGTTTTCTCCGATTTGTGTATCTTTCATAGCTTCACGTCCTATTAATGGAAATGAAGGAGCTAGGCGAAGTGTTTCATTTATCACGAGTTCCAAATATGGCAATTGACTTAATTGATCGCATTGAATATAAAAGTCTTTTTCTGGAAACACATCCAAGATTTCCTCAAATAAACGTTGTTGTATATCTGGATGCATAGCCAACATAATGAGAGTAGAGTAAATAGCATTAGCCGTTGTTTCAAAGGACTAAAAATAATTAGATTGAAAATATACTTAGAATGTGAAGAAAAGGTATTTACTCACAGTTGCTACAATTGTATTTGATTCTTTAATTATATCATTCCGTGTAAATTGTTGATTTTCATACAGTTTTATAGCTTGATCAATAAATATTTTTGGCTCTTTCCGTATGGAAAGTACAGCATCTATATTTTTGGTATTAACAAGACTTGATTCCGTTTTGTTTTTGTTAGTACATTTATTAAGCTTAGCTTGAATTAACTGAAATTTTTATTAATCGTTTTAGATGTTTTAGTATAATTCTGAAATACTGACTTTATCAACGAACGTCCATAGTTCTTCCTTTCCTTTCTGTAATTTCGAATAGAACTCTAACATAAAACCCAGTTTAAAAAATGACATCAATGCTTGAATCGTTGTAAATTTCATTAAACTGTGAAATAAATTCAATTTATTTATATATACAATATAATTTTAGTAAATGAACTTACAAGGAAAATACATTTATTAAATCTTCCGATACCTGTTCATCTTTGTGCATCGCTTTACCCATAGTCGTTTCTAATAACATATATTAAGTTATTTGAATATGATTATTATAAGACTTAAGCCGACATCTTTTTACCTGCGCTCATAGCTACAGTCAATGTTTGTATCATATTTAAAATTTTTTGATTTTTATTGTCTATTAGAGCAGCACATCTTTCTATTAGATCGTCTTTTGCTTTATTAAATATTGGAAACAGGCTTACAAGTACATTATTTGAAAAACAGGGATTAATCATTTTACGTTTATGGACCCATTCAGTTGCTTTTGTAAAGTATTCGATGTATAACTTTCACTTTTTAAAGTATTTTTATATTTTACCTGGACTTGTAAGGAGCCCATTCTTTATTAAAACGCTAACATAATAATATATCGTTTCTGCTTTGTTAAGAAATTCTTGAGAGCGCAAAACATTTGATACAATATCTGGATCTGCTGTCAATATGACTGGAAAGAATCCTGCCCAAAAGCAGACTGTACCGTTTTTGCAGTATTTCAAAGTATGACCAATCGCACTTATTATAGCTCAAATAAAATTATGTTAATATATTAAAAAAAATATGAATAACATTTATTGCTTACAGTTCACATTTCTTAGTTTGTATAATGAACCATTTATTGGGTAACCAAATAATATCGGAAAACTTAGACCGCACTTATATATATTTCTTCGTGTCCAAAGCCAGTGAAGTAACAAAATTACGGGAAGAACTACAAACACGGATATCAAAACTTCATATGTTTTAAGTGATTCCATTTCACTAACTCAAGCTCTACTCCGTACTGTTGAATAAACTACATTAATTTCAACTGGACAAGCTGTTTCGATTTTATAGGGAAACGTTTTAGAAATATGAGAGTACGAGAATAAACTCATTTTTATTTTATAATTAAGAGTTTTTTTAACTCTTACATATCATCCGAATGTCTAGCATTTAGTAAATGGCTTGTTTATGCATTATTTATAAAACTTGCTTGACAATAAACGCTCGCTAAATGTTATTTCATTATTTGGTAGTTGTCTCAACACAGGAATAGGATGAGAGAGTAACCTTCCTATATAATTTTTCCTGCCTTGTCAAATAAAGACTGTAGCGTGATCTTCTTTTACATTTTGTTGAATGTCATAGTTTTAGATGAACCTTGATATGAATACCAAATCAAGGTATTTGTGTTGTTGATTTATTGTTTATTGTTGTTGTTTGTTGAAGGTGATCTTAGTTGTTAGAACTAGGTTCAAAGAAGTATCTACTTTTCATTTCGTGTGGTTGATATATTACGGAGTTTTGTATATTTTATGTGCAGAACAATCTTAACTCAAACTTCACCCATCCACAATGTTGACAAATTGCTTAGATCATTTTTCTGGAGAAGCTTGATTTTACTTTCGTAAATAGTAAATTTCAATGATCACATACAATTTCCATGTGAATTGTACTTTCAATTCTATGAAAGTATGGATTCGTTCTTCCTTTAAAAAAATAATTATTTTCAGCGTTCACGCCACTTGTAATGTATAATATTATTTTCTGTCAGTATTCTATTTATCAACTTAAATGCATCAGTAACTATTTCATTTAATTTATACCAAAATTTTTTAGTCGTATATATATTTTTTTCAATATTTATATATACCTTATTTTACTATATTTTATACTATATTATACTATATATAATACTATATTATACTATATATTATACTATAATATATATTTATACATTTTCAATATAAATATACATTTAAGCAGTGAAAGTTTATAGGCTGTGATAAAATGAAAGAATTCAATAGATTGTGCATTATAACTTAAACTAACATTCTTAGATCTGTTTTAGAAAAACAAAACTTTAGATTACATGCAGAAACCTTTAATATACAACTATATAACTAGTATAAATATACATTTACGCACTGAAAGTTTATAGGCTGTGATAAAATGAAAGAATTCAATAGATTGTGCATTATAACTTAAACTAACATTCTTAGATCTGTTTTAGAAAAACAAAACTTTAGATTAGATGCAGAAACCTTTAAAATACAACTATATAACTAGTATAAATATACATTTACGCACTGAAAGTTTATAGGCTGTGATAAAATGAAAGAATTCAATAGATTGTGCATTATATCTTAAACTAACATTCTTAGATCTGTTTTAGAAAAACAAAACTTTAGATTAGATGCAGAAACCTTTAATATACAACTATATTATATATATGATATAATATAATATATATATCCTCGGTATTAGATGACGTCTTTAAATTTCCTTATTGGTTTTTATAACAGTTACACTACAGACCAATTATCCAGTTTAGACTATTCAACAATTAATAGGTAGGGAAAAAGTTTGGAGATTGACTTAAAGTTAGTGCTTCTTAAAAAGAAACTTCGAAATTTCCAATATATACTTTCAGGGAATTATGTATGCAATATTTAATTCAATACTATTTGTAGTATATTTAGAAATTTAATTAATTCTCGAAATATGTCGAAAGTAAAACAAAAATATAACACATTATCGTTGTTCCAGGTATTTCTTTTAACTAACTGTGCATTAAGTGCAACAAAAACTGTCAAAATCTGAAAAATTAATAATAAACTAAAATTCTTAAACATTTTTCCTGATTTCGTTAATTGCAAATTGTGTTTTTACTGTAGAGAGTTTTATATAAGAAATTATAAAAGCGTGTTTTTAATGATGGGAAAGGTTGAGATGTTAATCTGATTCCTCTCTTAAAAATGAATTTATATATATTAATGCAAATTAATAGTACAACATAAATATTAAGATAATTAAAATGCAATAAAATAAGGGTGGTTTTAGCTACATCCATTTGTTCAGCACTCTCAAGAGCAAATATTTCTATATGAACTAGTATGCAAATTGGTATAAATTTCCGTCCTACATAAACTTATAAGTCGGAAATATATTTAAATAAATTAATAATAATAATAACATACGCGGTTCACTATGAATATTTTGAGCCTTGATAACACTGATTGTTTGCAAGTGTCATCTGACGATTCCATACGAAAGTTTGACATTATTAAACATAATCTAGCTTAGACTTTTGGTCAAAAGAACTTTATTTGTGCTATTTACAGTGATTTGTAAATTGAGTGTTAGCGAAAAAATTGAATTAACGCGAGAAAATTAAGTGGATTATCAAGACATGAGTATATCGTTCAACTTACTTCCATATTGGGCGATGGAGCTCCATCCTTTGCTACTGTGAATCGATTGTACAATGATTTTAATCGTGGCCGTAGCTCGTTTACAAACTGATAATGCAAGATACAGTATGTCATGCGACATACTGTAAGAATTAGGGAACTTTACTAAACTAAACTGTAAGAATTAGGGAATTAGTTCCACTAATATATATATATGTATAAAATATTATATTATCATTTAGCCGTGAGAAAAGTTTGTTCTCATTGGATCCTATCATCATTTGACAAAATCCCAAAAAGATGCTCGTGTCAATTAGTGCACACAAATGCTCAAGAAGTACGTGTACAATGGCGGTGCTTCAAAGGACGTGTACTTGTATAAGATTGTAATAGGTGACGAATCATGGATATATGCGTATGAGAAACGTAAACAGCAGTCGACTGTGTGGGTACTTCAAGATGATCCAAATCCAACAAAAATTGTTCATGTTCGAAGGACTTCGAAACAAATGGTCGTTTGTTTTTAAGAGATAACTGATCATGTGACAATTACGAGTATATTATTACAGGAACGTAAAATGGTCAGTTCCGAATGGTATACAACCATTTGTTTAAAGTCTTCAGTAAAATACAGAAAACAAACAAACGTTGTCGGATCATTATTATTATTATTGTTAGGATATGTGGCACTGCGACCGTCGGGTCTATTGTGCCTCCTTCTGGACTTAGAAGGTCTCTGGACTTAGGTCTTTAAGCACTATTGCGTCAATAAAAAATAGTATAGAACCTACTTTACAGAGTTTTATTGCCTGTTTCGTAAGAGGAGCCTATTTCGTAGTCGTCGGATTATTCTCCATCAAGACGATGCGAGTGCTCATACATCTCATCTAACAACCGACTATTTAAACATTCAAAAAATCGAGTTGATAGGTCATTCGTCGTACAGTCCTGATGTATCCGTACAGTCCAATAACAGTCAAGAATAAATTGCGTGGACAACAATTTTTTGGCGAAAGAAGACGTTGTTGCATTTAAAAACCATGTTTTGGAACGCATGCTAAAGTGTATGCGTTCCAAAAAAAAAATTCACCACTACGCAACTGTCATTCATGAATTGAATGAACCAGTTTTTCAACGTAGCAGCGAACAACAACACCCACAAGTACCGTCAGCACAAGATAAGACAAGCTTCAAGAAAAGTCAGAAATAAGTCAGAAATAGACGTGATTTTTATATAAATAGACGTCAAATTCATATGAAAGATCCCTTAGCGCCAGCTCACCAAATTTGGTAGACATCTACATCATCGCTAGGTCGCCAGGGAATGTTCAGATCAGCAGTATTTTGATATTATAGGCTAGATCAATTGTAGACCAGTAGTTTATAACGCCGCCGACATTTTGATGCCATAGGCTACAATCTGTTATAACTCCTTTTAATTATAGCACTATGGACTACAAATTTATTACAATGACCCGGACTTTGACTGAGTCATACCTCATCAGAATCAAAAGACATATCTGTGTCGTTACACATATCATCCAACTAATATTCAAATTTAAATATTAGTGGGATATTAAGGAATATTTAAATTTAGTTTAAGCATCATTTCTGAACTTATATAAAATTCATATGCAATCAATTAGACTGAATAACATGTTAACAGGTTAATAAACACTAAACTCATACTGTAGGTATATAAATTAAAAAATCATTATAACTCGAATATAAACTGCACCGAAAAGGTAATTAAAAAATGCATATTAATTTTGTAATGAATTTTAGTTCATAACAATTACTAATAGATTATTAATTCTCACAAATAGCAAAATAAGATAAAAAATCCATAGATAAGAATCTTGCACACCAGATAAACAAGTAGTTATGTAAAACATTAAGTTATTAAATTATAAAAAGTTAATACTTAAATGCATATATTAAGAAAATAAAATAAATAAATGATATAGATAATTTACATGACCACATGATTTACATGATTTGTTTCGGTCTTCATACATTTGTTACATCTCTAACGGTAACCAGTGTTTTTTCTTCTTTTTGCCAATGCTGCCCAGGCAATGAAAAGAGTTCATATATTCGATAAATTTGCGGCGTATACTAAGCGGTATCTTTATAAACTTGATTTTTGAGACGAACTCAAGAACAAGATCATTATTTTTCAATTTCCATATATTCTACATATTATTAAGGTTTTTATGGTGTGCAGTACTCTTTTCGTTTTCCTTTAGGTCACCACTTGAAGTAGGTATACAGTCTGTCTAGGATGAAAAAGAGTTTACATCTTCAATGAATACTAAGCAGTATTGTGATAGATCTCAGAATTTTTATGTTTTTCATATTGATTTTTAAGTAGACCTAAGTTAAAATTTTAACCTCCATTTATGTGCGAGAAGACGTTGTAGGCATAGTTGAGATCTATAGGATCGACTCCTTAAATCCCTTATAAGCCATATTGTTCTTCGATTAGTTTTAGCCGCTTTTGCTTATATTAAAACTGTTTTGTTAAAAGAAACAAATGAATACATCCTTGTTTTATACCTCAATAATGCATATATGATTTAAAGAATTTGTGTAGTGTACACTACATGCCACATTTTCATAGAAGTTTTGCATTATACTGATTATGTTGCGCGGAACGTATTTAAAGATTGAGAAATCTTTAAAAATACGTTTCTTTCTTTAAAAATTTAGAAAAGACTAGCTAGAGCAGTAATAGTTATACTGCTGGCCGCTCTGCAATTATTTTCAATCTGATTAAATTATCTGTGTATGATCTATGAATCCTGATTGTTAATTTCTGAGCTCAATATCCAGTACATTCGTGAAAAATTTATTCATAATTATATTTATAATATTACATTATTATATTTTGTTTTTAGCAAAATTTTGGCAACCACCTTTTACAGATTGTGAGATCATTTTTTATTAGTTTCTGTTAAAGGCTACTTGAAATATTCAATAAGCCATAAGCTCATTCGTTTTACTCGAAAAAAAGCAGGACATATGTTTTTTAAATGGTATTTGCTTGCATGTGAAACTTTTCCAGGAAACAATCTTCCCACTATATGACACATATAGTGGTATATAGTAAATATATATACATAGTAAATTTATTTGTAAATAAATTTATAAAAAAATGTTTAGATAAAGAAAGTTTTTTTAAAAACAAAAAGAATATATTCCGAAAATTAATTATTTCGCAATGCTTTACGTATTATCATTACATACAGAGTCAATTAATTTTCTCTGTAATTAGAAATAACACAAATTGTTCATCATTTAGTTTCAATTTCAATTAAACCAAAGACAATGATTTAGTTTATTAGAAAGTTGATTTTATTTCACTTTCACATGAAACCGCTTATACACGAACAATATCCATTTCTTTTTGTAATACCTTATGTTCTCCTACATAACCTTAATTCTGGTTCAACTATATACCTCAATGACACTCGATGGGTACATCTCAGATCTTCAAATTTAAAGTCAGTTTTAAATTTATAGTTTCGTAAGAGTCCACATAGTAGAACTTTCATTGAAAACATAGCATATCGCCTTCCTATAATAAAAACATGATATTATAGTTTGCATATATATGGTATTTAACTTCATATTATAATGGCTTACCAATGCAGTTTCGAGGTCCTTTCGAGAATGGAATATAAGCATTTTTTTGCTTTTCTCCATAATTTTCAACTGAGAAACGCTCCGGTTCAAATTTATCTGCATTTGGACCCCAAATATCAGTCCGTCGATGAAGATGATATATTGAAATGAAAACCTGAATACCTTTAGGCAATAAGTTTACTCCGATTTGTGTATCTTTCATAGCTTGACGACCTATTATTGGAACTGAAGGAGCTAAGCGAAGCGTTTCATTTATCACAAGTTCCAAATATGACAATTGACTTAATTGATCGCATTCAATATAAAAGTCTTTTTCTGGAAACACATCCAAGATTTCTTCAAATAAACGTTGTTGTATATCTGGATGCATAGCCAACATAACGAGAGTAGAGTAAACAGCATTAGCCGTTGTTTCAAATGACTAAAAATAATTGAATTAGCAATATACTTAGAATGTGTAGCAAGTATATTTACTCACAGCTGCTACAATTGTAACTGATTCGCTAATTAAATCATTCCATGTAAATTGTTGATTTTCATACAGTTTTATAGCTTGATCAATAAATATTTTTGGCTCTTTCCGTATGGAAGGTACTGCATCTATATTTTTGGTATTAAGAACTCTTGATTCCGTATTGTTATTGTTGTTGTCTGTGTTAGAACATTTATTAAGCTTAGCTTGAATTAGCTGAAATTTTTATTAATCGTTTTACATATTTTCGTTTAATTCTGAAATACTGACTTTATCAACGAACATCCATACTTCTACCCTTTTTTGTTGTAGTTTTGAATAAAACTCGAATATAAAACCGAGTTTAAAAAACGACATCAATGCTTGAACCGTTATATATTTCATTAAGCTGTAATATAAATTTAATTTATTTATATATACAATATAACTTTAGTAAATGAACTTACAAGGAAAAGACACTTATTAAATCTTGTGATTCCTGTTTACCTTTGTGCATCACCTTACCCATAGTCGTTTCTAATAAAATTAAGTTATTTGAATATGATTCTTACAATACTTTAGCCAACACTTTTTTACCTACGGTCATACTTAAAGTTAATGTTTGTAACAGATTTAATATGTTGTGATTTTTATTATCCACCAGAGCATCACATCTTTCTATCAGGTCGTTTTTAGCTTTATTAAATATTGGAAATAGGCTAACAAGTACATTATTTGAAAAACAGGGATTAATCATCCTACGATTATGGACCCATTCAGTTGCTTTTGTAAAGTATTCGATGTATAACTTTCACTTTTTAAAGCAGTTTCATAGTAGTTTTATATTTTACCTGGAGTTGTAAATAGTCCACCTTTTAATGAAACGCCCATGTAATAATATATCGTTTCTGCTTTGTTAAGAAATTCTTGAGAGCGCAAAACATTTGATACAATATCTGGATCTGCTGTCAATATGACTGGAAAGAATCCTGCCCAGAAGCAGGCTGTACCGTTTTTACAGTATCTCAAAGTATGACCAACCGCACTTATTATAGCTCAAATAAAATTATGTTAATATATTAAAAAAAATATGAATAACATTTATTGCTTACAGTTCACATTTCTTAGTTTGTACAATGAACCAATTATTGGGTAACCAATAAAACTTAGATCGCACTTATATATATTTCTTCGTGTCCAAAGCCAGTAAAGTAACAAAATTACGGGAAGAACTACAAACACGGATATCAAAACTTCATATGCTTTAAGTGATTCCATTTCACTAACTCAAGCTCTACTCCGTACTGTCGAATAAACTATATTAATTTCCACTGAACAATGGGTTTCGATTTTATATGAAAAAATATTAAGAACATAAGATTACGAGAATAAACTTATGTGTACTTTATAATTAATAGAGTTTGTTTAACCCTTGTTAGTTATTACAGTTTTAGCAGCTAGTAATTATTATTCCGTTTGCAAATATTGTTGAATTACATACAATTTTGTAATTACATTCGTTTCTAATACATATAACTCGATAAATATCATAATATTAAATAAACCATTTAGAGCATTTACTTATGTTCAGTGGATTTGCTTGCTCTAACATATACCATCATATCATATCAACATTATAGATATATATTTACGGTTGCGACTATTGTTTTATGTATTAGATGTTCGTTCTATTCTGTTAGTTTTGGTTTTATGTATTGTATCCAGTAAATATGGTCAAAGCGACATTTGACTTCCTTTTTTTTGGTATAATTTGATCTTTTCCAGTCAACTTACTATCTATAGAAATGCTGGTACGGCTAATTTTTATATTTTTAATTTAATTACTTTTTATTAGTGTAAGTAGAATGAGTAGTCTTATTTGCGTTTATTCCTTTTTTTCAAATCCAATAATAGTTGTATTGAGAATGTATATCACAAAGTATGAAGCCTTGTCAATATTTACACTGACAATAATAAGTACTGTGTCGTCTGCACAGGTTGCAACCAAACTTTACAATTAGGTAGATGTTGGAATGTCGGCAATACTTATTTCATAGTTACTGTTACAAATTGTAAGAATTATTGCATTATTTTATATTCTATACTTAATTGTTCATCTTATATCCCATCTTTAATCTTATTAATACAATTAATGGTATTTGTCCAATCACTTTAACTGTGAGAACTCCAAATCGCAGCAATATATAGCAAATATAGTAAAGGGTCGAGTACATCGCCTTAAGTTGTACTTGCGTTCATTTTTCTAAGTTCAGATATATAATCTTTGTATTTGACGTAAAAGAATCTATTTTGCAATTAGGTTTTTAATAACAGTCTAAACTTTGTTGAATGTTACTCAGCATGATATTGAATGTTATGCATAAATTATAATGGTTTCTTGCGAGTTTTTCATAAAAATTCTAGAGAAGTTATTTAGAAGTAATTAAAATTATTTCATATATAAAAGTAAACTTATTTAAATGTGTTCAGTGTATAAGTTAACCAGGAATTCATTTATGAAAATATTATGAAAGATTTTGTTCAGATTTTTTTTGTTAATTAATCTTTTGTTTTTGGGCAGATTTAACAATTAATTATTTCCTATATGATCACAATGACTTAACGATCATTTCGTCAAAGCTACTTGTAAGAAAATTCATAAAATAAATATTGATTCTACCACTTCTCAAATTTTTTAAAAAACATATTGTTTAATTAATAAATGAATATTAGTGCGTACAACCACTCATAGGAATACATGATTATATTCGAAAATTTTAGTTTTATTAGCAACCCGCCATGCTATGCGCTGTTTAATCCTTTTGCAAGGTCTAAATATATATATTTAAACCTTTAACGCCTAGGAGGAGCGTAGGGTCTAAATATATTGTAGTAGTAAACTGTTTTAAATTTACATCCTTCGTGAATTTATTTATGACTCTATGTTGGTCAGCTAAAAGCCGGAGTTTTGTATAGGTATTTTAGGTGCGGAACAATCTTAAACCAAACTTATTACCTTTAAGGTAGTAATGATTAATAAGAATAGGTATTTTTTAATTTTTAATATTTAACGATTAAGTTAACTTTCTAAGCTTCGCAATATGATGTAAATACTATTTAAAAGCCACACGTTACATATTTTTCCTATATGATCTAAAGTTCAAACTACTGCAAAATTTACTGTTGTCATAAAAATATAATATAAAGTAAATAATGTCAATGGTTTATTAGCTATAAATATTATTTATAAGTTAACTATACAATATCTAATAACATAGCTAGTCAAAATGCACCATACTTATGTCATTACACTTACTATCGCTATTTATTATAACATTAGAAGCTTTTATTAGCAAGTAGTTATAATTGTTTGGGTCACTGCATGTTTTTACAGATATTATAATTACGATTATATTTGTTAGAGTAAAGGTTAAGTAAATAATCTAAATCGATTATTAATAATGAATTTACATCTATTAATTAAAACTAATAGTATATCGTTAACACTATGATAATTAAAAAAAATAGAAGCATAAGAAAGCAGCATACAATTATAAATTTTTATATCTGTAATAAAATACGATTTCTTTTTATCAGATATCAGCTACTACTTCTCATATATGAATCTCTGTGCAAATTGTATAGCTTGTATAGCTGCTAGATCTATATTTAAACCTTTTTTTCTAAATTTATGTAAAATTTTAATATCAATCAATTAAACTATACTTGATTGTAAAAGATTAATGAACACTTAAGTTATAGCGTAGGTTAATGCCAGCAACTACATTATAATAATTCAATAAATTGAAAAAAAATTATATCGCTAGTGGTTACTTTGTAAAAAATTTTACTTTTAAATTAGAGACTAATTTTAATTATAGTAAAAAGAATTTTGTGCTTTTGTAATAATTACCAAAATTTTAGTAATTGTAACAAAAAGCAAAATGAAATAAAATTTTGGTTTGGCTTTATAGAATCTTGCATACCAGAAAGACTATTAGTTATATAAAACATTAATTAATCGTTTAATTTATTAAAAGTGAATACTCACAATAATTTCGAAATAATATGATTTAAAAAATAAAAATATAAAAGATCTAAAAACACTTATATACTCATGTATCAATTTTAAGCACATAAATATCTTAATTGTTATCAGATGTCCTTCTCTGCTTCCATTGAATACCATAAGAAAAATTTATAAAAATAAGAGTGTATAAGCAAGTGATATCCATTTTCCTCAAACACTTTCAAAGAGAATCCATTTATGACCTTACTCTTGGTGGCAATTTCCACATTTTCCATACTCGTCACCACTTGATGTATACAGTCTGCCTAGAATGAAAAAGAGTTCACATCTTCGATGAATACTTAGCAGTATTGTGTTAGATCTAAGAATTTTTATACTTTTATATTGATTTTTAAGTAGACCTAAGCGAGAAGATGTCGTACGCATAGTCGATATCCTATAATCGATACCTTAAATCCCTTATAAGTAATAATATTCTTCGATTAGTTTTAGCTGCTTTTGTTTATATTAAAACTATTTTATTAAAAGAGACAAGTGGGTGAATCCTTATCTTATTTCTAATGCATATATGATTTAAAGAATTTGTGTAGTGTACTCTGCATATAACATTTTTGAAGAAGTTTTGTATTATATCGTTTATGTTTTGAGAAACGTATTTACAGATTAAAGTGTTCTAGAAATTTTATGTTGACGTGTGTAAAAATTGAGAAAATACTAGCTAGAGCTGTAATAATTATTCTGCCGGCCAGTCTGAATTTATTTTCCATCTGGTTAGATTATCTGTGTATGATCCATGAATGCTGATTGTTAATTTCTGAGCGCAATATTCAGTACCTTCGTGAAAAATTTATTCATAATATGCATTATTATACCATATTTTGTCTTTAGCAAGAATTATTCTAACCAGCTTTTACAGACTGTGAGATCATTTTGTTATTATTTGTTTATTTATTTTGTTTATTTATTTATTTTATTTATTTATTTTTCATTTTATTTATTATTTATATTATTTTTTATTATTTTTTATTATTTTTTATTATTTTTTATTATTTTTATTATTTTTTATTATTTTTATTTTACTTATTAGACTTCTTAAAATATTTGTTAGTTTTCATAGTTCTCTCTAAGTATTAAATATTATTTTTTTTTATTCTGAACATTAATATAAGTAATTTTGTTTTAAAAATTTTTTATAACTATTTATAAAATAAATTAAGTTGAATAGTTTCTATAGGATTTTATTCACTATAGGCGAAGTTGATTTGAAAATTCACTTTTACTTCAAAGAGAAAAACATATTTTGTAGGCCATTGAACAAATGTACTTAATTTAATTAAATTTTTATGTAGCATATAATGTTTTTAAATGCTTAAATATATACGTAAACCGTACGTAAAGCGGAACACACTTTAATAAAGAAATTTCTTTCCGTAGTCGCAATTAAAGCACTTAAGAATGGCATAATTTAAATCCACCACAATACAATCTTGTCTAAAATCGTTCAATATAAAATTTTTAATTATAAAAGCAAAGTGAGTGTACTCGTATAGTAATATGCACTTATAATAATTTAAACAAAAATAAAAGTATAAATTACGCTTAATGAATAGCAGAAAATTCGATTAAAACGTTAACCAAGTAATAATACGGCTATTTCTTTCATATACACTTTTTACACTTTATAACTTTAATGTGTATTGACCAAAGTGAAATTATTGATATTGAGTAGATAAATATGTTAAATCATTTAAACGTATAAGAGAGCAAAGCTTTCAAAATACATTGGCAATAAAATTTTTCATTGGAAAAACTTTTCACCAATTCTATGCACTTATTCTCTTCGTATCTTCGTATCTTCGTTTCAGTAAAGCAAAGATACATTCGTTAGTCGTTTAACTTCACTTTTGGTCACACCAAAAATAATAAAGAATCTGAAAATACCGTAAAGTACAAAAGTACAAACATACATTTCATGACAAAACTCGTAATAAAATACATAACAAAGTCTATATAGTTATGCTGAAATCAAAAAAAAAAAAAACAGAAATAAAAATCTTATTTCATGTAATATCAACAAAATTAGAAAAATCGAAAAATCGAAAAATTGAAAAAATATGAAAATACTTTACCCACATTTGTCACGGATACATAATTAAAATGCATTTCACTTTGACTGCACTCGCATACTGACTGTTTGTACGTAAATACAAAAGATACACATACGCACCTCTTTGCAGTTGCAATATGAATGATGCCAAATAA